GGGATTTAAAATATGATTGTATTACTGGGTGCATGTTTATTATTTATCTGATTATATTTAACTTGGTAACGGAGACTACGGAAAAACAGATAAGGTGACAGCCTCACTAGATATCCTGAGAGATGGTGGACGGACCGGGTTCATATGGAACCCTACCGTGAACGTTGTCTTATACCGGACGGGGTATGGAGACTTGGTCATTTTGTGCTCATACCAGATGGGGTATGGGAACGACCCGCTTCACCCTCGTACTGGACGGGGTATTGAGGTTTAATGTCTTGGCACTCATACCGAACGGGGTATGGGGACGGCCCTAGAATTAAGATTATTAAGAAAAATGGTTCACGTGTAGCGGGGACACCCCTATGGATCCCAATGGATACTAGTAGGCTGGTGAAAATGAGAAACGGTAATAATAAGTTATTGTTAATAAATACGAATTTATGATATGTTTTATGTTACTGATTATGCATGAAATTGTGATTTGTATGATATTACTGCTTTTGTAATTTGTTTCCATAAATTCCCCTATGCTAAGAAAAAATGGTAAATGATTTTATTTTAAGTAAATGTATTGATTTAAATCTACTGCTCCATTGGTTGTTTTGATTTTTTACCAACCTTTACTTCTGTGACGATGATACAGTGTGATGTCCTTAATGGGCTAGTATAGCTCATTCCTTACTTAACTATTTCAGATAAGGAGGATCTGGTTCCCGAGCCCGATCCACAAGAAAACTGCGAGTACATGCTAGATGCTTTATAGTTTACTTAATTTTTCTCATTTCTCGTATTTTTTTCAGAGAACTTATTCTATGATATTGTTTAGTACTTTTAAGTTATTGTGTAAGGGATGTTAACCTTAATCTTTTATTTCGTTTTCGTACTCAGATTATTATATGTATTTCCTTTTGAATTTCCGGGGCCGTTACACTATATACATCACTTCTTTAATTAGTTCTAATTCTTTCTTTTTTTCTTTTTAAAAATTTGAGGTTAAATTTTTAATCGGTTATGTCTAACATTAAAAAATTTAATTGTTCTATTTTTTTTTAAAACATAACAAATTTACTGAATTAAATATAATTTAATCATTATAATTTTATAAATATATTAAATTATCATTTTACATAATTAAGCATTAAATTTATAATGTAATTATAAAATAACAATGTGTATATAATCATTGAAATTTGAACTTTGTGAACTTTGCATATAACACAGAAAAAATAATTTTGATTGTTCCCTCTGACCCTATAAATGGGATTTTTATACATGGAGTTAGATGCATACTTGGACTTTCCCACTTTGAAATGAATTGACTCCTCCACTCTCCCATTCAAATTATCAAGGTTTTATCCACAATCTAGAAGGGTTATACATCCAAATTTGTGTGTATATATGTATATATACTTCAATTAAATAGTAATTATAACACAATCTGAACATAAGATGTATATATAATAATCTTTTCTCATCAATTTATTTGTTAAAAAAAGAGTTGATTGGTCAGAATAAATATATATTAGCATAGTACATATATATATGAATTAATCAGAACAAATAATGTTCCAATTAATTAAGAGGATTAGTACAAACAGGAAGTTATATATTACCTTTCTCCAAGAACACAAAGAGACTTCCATCAATACTACTTGTCAGCCAAGTGCCCTACCACTGAGGTTGGAAGCATGCATGGCACGTTCATGCCAATTGAGCCGCCTCCACTTTTGAGCTTCGCGCATCTGCATCAAATTACTGTTTAATCGTAAAGTTGACTGTCATCATATATCTATTTATTACCAGAAAGTACATGCACCACCATTTTTAGTAACTTATTGGGTCGGTCAAAGTGATAAACATTCATATATTTAAATAAGGATTTTGGGTTATCTCTTCTTACATGTATATCTACATATATGTTCAGTGGCAGAATAGTTATCTCCAAGAGGGTAATGAAATTAAGTAATACCATCTTAATCCCATAAGTTAATATAGTATATAATATATATATATATATATATATACACACTACTAATTTTTTTTGACAAATTATTAAGTTAGTATTCAATATTTAAAATTTGTCTTAATGTTTTTCTTACAATTTAATTTTTGAAAATTTTTATTTATTTTATATTTTAATTTTTTTATTTCCTAATAGATGAAATTAAAATAATTAATTTATGTTTTGATCATTACCTCAAAAATAATTTTAACAAATTAATTGAATTAGTCATAAAAATAAACATAATTTATTAATAATTAATTAAACATATATATATTTAAAATATTCAAATATAAAATAATGATTTTAATTTTTTCTGATAAAAATTTAAAAGAAATTAAACACTTAAAATAAATAAATAAAAATTAAAAATTAAATTATAAGAAAAAAATTAAGAATTAAATAATTTACTAAATTACTTTTAAGTAATGTCGTAATTTATCAATTTTAAAAAAGCATATATATATATATATATACATAAATATATTATACCAGATTAAAAGTGGAATCTACGTATACACACACACACACACACACACACACATATGTATATACAACTTAAAAGTGAAATCTATTCATGTTTAATAAGTTAATTGTACAACCAATGTCAGTGGATATAATTTGACATCAAAGTCAGCAAAGCTACTTTCACTATCCCTTGTAAAGAAGATTCTTAATTTCTATTTGTGTAAAACAAATTTAAACACAAGTAGCAAAATGCAAATACTCTTTATAGCCGTCATGAGATTTCACTATAGAATTTACAAAAGATTGGCAACTATCCACACCATAAATTTTGCTTTTCCTGTTATTCCAGAGTCAAAAGATAATTTCTCTACTGATAAATATCTTATTTTCTTCTTTTAAGTGAAATACTTTGACAGGATAAAATTAAAATATGTCAGTAAGTAATTTATTTGGACAACATAGATTTCCGGAACATTTATCAGCAATATAACCTAACAACCATCAACAATGTAAGGAAAACTATTCTATCCCACATTGATTAGAATTAACAGAATCTATTTAAACAAACTTCAGATGCATTCCCAATTGACATTGGAATCAGCCGAGATAACTACATGTTCTCTACCAAACAACGTAACAGCTAAACTAAAAATTATAATAACCATTCTCTCACCCCTAAAATTCTAGCTTTTAATGCCCACTTGAATTTTACCCATTCTGCTACGTGAAAAGATCCTTTCACTAATCCATTTCACACAGACTTGTTCTGGAAAGAGTGAGAGAGACGGATAGAGGAGAACTTAATTTTCCAAGAAAAGAAAAGTGGGAGGTTGGAAAGTAAAACGATAAACATCGATGTAGGTAGGAGAAATCCAAACAGCAAAAAAAAAAGACAATTTATAGTAGCCGCAAGCTTGCTGACCTCTTATTTTGATCTACAAGAAGATCCTGAAATGATATCACCAAGTAACAGAAAGTGAAAGGCAAGAAGTCTAAGATCGCCAGCATGACGTAACACACATTAATAAAAAGATAAGTGATTTCTTCTTGTGCCAAGCACATTCTCAAGCACTATCAAATATTATTTTTAAGTGCTTAATTAGTCATATGGAAATTCTATCCCTAAACCCAGTATAAATAGGGATACAAGTTGGTGAGGTAGATGTATATATGTATACATATAATTCTAGAGAGAACAAAGCTGTAATAAGAGAGTTATTCGTCACGAACAAAGTTCCTGGAGTATTTACAATGAAGTTTTCGTTGGCAACTTTGCTTCTGTCTTACCTCTTCTTTGATGTTCCAGGAACATCAGGGGATGTTGGGACTGCCTCAGCTTATGACCCTCCGTACTTGCGTATGTAACCTGCACTTTTTTTTATATTCTACCAACTCTGGTAAAATCTAAAATATATCTCAGTTCTACTTAATTGTCACTATAATTTACTAAAGAGATCTCCACCACCTCATAACTATACATATAAAATTCTAAATACTCGGACACTTACCCCCCTATTGTGTCACTTGCTTATTACCTGATTTATCTCCAATTTGCCTTTGTATTGTATGCAGCAACAAGATGCAAGGGATATGACCAAGACCAGTTTCCCCCGGGAGGATATTTTGTGGCTGCAAGTGATGGCGTGTGGGACAATGGTGCAGCATGTGGGAGGAGATACAGGATACGGTGCATCAGTGGTCCCAGGCGACCATGTAAGAATGGATTTATTGTTGTGCAGGTTGTTGACTTTTGCCGTCAAAGTCCCTGCCCAGCAACACTACTACTCTCGGCCGAAGCCTTTGGTGCCATCTCTAGAAACATCGATGCCCGGATCAACATTGAATTTGCACAGTAATTATCATCTTCCTAAATTATTTATGTCCAAAGATACCATGTTGATGGAAAATGTCAACGATTATATTGTATTCTCTTTTGCAGGATTTGAAGGCATGTGCATCCATTTATTTAAGAGCACCCTACTCACTAACATGACACGCCTGTGCTGCGTATTATTTCTTCATTTTCCTCCAAAAAAGAACTATATATATGACCTATTCCTACTGTAGAAGGGTTTTTCTTTCCTACTTTTATCAAGCCCCAACCCCAACGCCTCGTGGAAAAGCAAAAGGACTACTAAGCAGAATGACTGCTCTCCTATTAACGAGAAGTTACTGAATGTATTGTCTTGTTCCAGTAGCTTGAAGCATTGAAACAAAATTAGCATCTATTATTCTTATGTATAATTTTTTATTCTACTTCTTGAGGTTCAGTACTTGGTATAAAATTCTACAATGGTATAGCTGATGAAGAAACAACCCCGCAACACTCCAGATGGTTATTGAATTATTTAAGATTCATATAAGAAAATTATCAAATATTGAAGAATGAAAATTTTGTATTTTTCATTGTCTTTGATAATGATACAAGAATTGTATTATACTACAAAAGTTATCATATTTAGACAAAAAAAAAAAAGAATCCTAGTTAGTGATAGTCTTTTCCAGAATAAATGACAAATTAAATCAAATAAATCTGGTAAGAAGCTTCCCAGTTACTGAGATGATTTTTCAGCATAAATGGCAGACCAAATCAAAAAAATTTGATCAACCTTGGTTAGAAAGTAAATATTTCTGATATAGCGACTATAGTTACTCAATTTTCAACACTTCCCTCAAGCTGGATTGTAAATGTCAAGTAAGCCTAATTTGGATCTCATATCTTCAAATTTTACCTTTAGTAGCGCCTTAGTTAGAATATTTGCTCTTTGTTGATTAGTAGGAATGTCGTAGATGTTAATTAAATCCCCTTCTATCTTCTCCTTGATTAGGTGTCTATCTATTTCTATATGTTTCGTAATGTATTAATGAATAGGATGCTTGGCTATACGTGTAGCAGCTTGGTTATCACAGAATATTGATGGTATCACTTGAACGTTAAGTTTGCTGAGTAATCATTTTAAGCACATTCCTTTATATATCCCCTGGGCCATAGCTCTAAGCTCTGGTTTTGCACTACTCCGAGCAACCTCTCTGTTTTTTGCTTTGTTAAGTAACTCAATTTCTCCACACATGAGTACAGTATCCTGAAGTGGATTTTCGATTGGTAGTAGATCTTGCCCAATCAGCATCAATAAACACTTCAGTATTGTTGTTTCTAGTCTTATTGAAGTGAAGACCTTCTCCAGGAGATTTCTTTAAATACTTAGAATATAATATAGTCAATTTACGTGTTCTTTAGTATGATTATTTATGAACTGACTATCCACAGCAACAACAAAGCCAATATCTAGTCATGTGTGTGAGAGGCAGATGAGTTTTCCGATTAACCTTTGGTATCCTCATTTGTCACATAGAACACTGTCTCCTTCTTTTCATTTGGTGATTGCTTCCATTGGGATCTGCAGGTTTACAACCCAACATTCCTCTTTCTTTGAGTAATGACGGACATCCTTTCTTTGTCAAACCATAATTTCTGACTGAGTTCTTATAATTTTTATCATGAGTAAGTATTTTAGGTTTCCTAGACCTTTGACTTTGAATTCATGAGTAAAAACTTTCTTAAGTTCTATAATCTCCTCTTCATGATATCCTGTCAAGATAATATTATCTATATAGACAATTATGATAGATATCTTTCTACGAGAAAAATATTTAACGCATAGGGTATAATAATCTGACTAACATTGAACATATCCAAATTTTTCTACAGCCTTAGAGAATCTCTCAAACCAAGCTCTGAGCAAATTGCTTGAGGTTATAGAGAGATTTTCTCAGCTTACAAACATTGTATGAGTTAGTCTGATCTTTGAGGCCTTCAAGGATCTCCATGTATACTTTTTTTTTGGGTTCCCATTGAGAATGACATTCTTGATGTCCAACTAATGAAGTTTCCAATCAAAATATGCTACAAATGACAAGGGAATTCAAATGATGTCAAGTTTTATACAAGTTGCAAAAATCTCCTGATAGTCAATACCATAAACTTGAGTAAAGTCTTTAGCAATAAAACGAGTTTTGAATCTCTCTATGGTACTATCTGCATTGTATTTAACAGTGAAAATCCACTGGCATCCCATAGGTTTTTTTTCCCCCCAAAAGTTGATCAACAAGTTCTCACGTACCATTTTTCTCAAGTAACGTCACTTCCTTAATAACAGCTTCCTTCCACTCATGATATTGTATGACTTCTTGAATGCTATAAGAATCTAGATTTCCATGAGTTTAGCAGCAAAAACACGATATTCAAGGAATAATTTCTTATATGACATAAAATTGTAAATAAGATGATGAGTACAAGACCTAACTTCCCTTCTTTGAGCAATTGGTAAATCGAGATCTTGAAGTATCAACTTACCAGAAGCATTATCTGATTGTGTATCTTCCTATATTGGCTCTGGTCTAACTTTATAACTAGTTCTTTCTTGTATTTATTCCTCTACAGGTGCCTGACTTTTATGTTTTCTTAAGTATATTAAGAGTTCTTTCTTATTGTTTGGGGGAATACTTTGAGAGGAGTCTTTCGGGCTAGAAGTGATGTTCGTGGAAACAATTGACGGATAAGGAGAATTTGACTCAATAGGTTCGGGATCTTGTGTTCAAGTGTTGCTCCCAAATTTCTGAAAAGGGTGTTTCTTCTACATTTTCACTTTCCCTCTAGACATCATTTTTTGAATAAAATGATCATTTTCAAAGAATGTAATGTCCATATAGTGATAAAATTTCTTGGTGACCAGAGAGTAACATTTATATCCATTTTAATTTGGTACATACCTAAAGAAGATATATTTTATGGTCTTCGGGCCAAATTTGTTTCTAAATTATTGAGGAACATGAACAAATAATAAACATCCAAAGATCTTTAGAGGAATTGATGAGATGAGCCATGTTGATGGATAGGTATTTTTAAAGACTTGACACAATGTTTGGAATTGTAGGACACGGGAATACATGTAGTTGACTAAGAGGCTGTAGTGAATTAGGCATCCCCCCAAATTTTTTTTTTAGAAAATAAGATTGGATCATGATAGTTTGTGTAATTCTTAATAAATGTGTTTTTTTTTTTCAATTACCCTATTTTATTGATGGTTGCCAATATATGAACTTTTATGGATAATTTTCTGTTCGATTAGATATTCTTCAATGATAGAATTGAAAATCTTTGACATCATCCGTATAGAAGATATGGACTTTAGTGTTCAATTGAGTCAAAACCATTTTATTGAAATACTTGAACAATTTACATAATCTCAGATTTATCATTCATGAGGAATACCCAAGTGAAGCGTGAGTGATCATCTATGAATGTTATAAATTATTTTACTCCATTTAAAGTCTTGACTTTGTATGATCTCTAAACATCACTATTAATCATTGAAAAGGAAATGGTTCTTTGTATTTTTAGATATGATAGGTATTTCAAACATATTTGGACAATTGACAAGGTTCATACTAAAATTCAATAAAGTTATAATTAAACAACAAAGAAAAATATTATGGATGCATTTATTGGGCCTGAATAAGAGATTGAAGTTCAATTAAATATGAAATCATAATTAATATTAAATTCCTAAATATTAAACATGAAATCTTAAAATTAGATTCCTAAATATAATATAATTTTCCATTAATATTGGATTTCTAACTAATATAGGATTTCTAATATTTTAGTAGAATATTTTTATTTAAATTTAGATTTCTAATTAAATTAAGATTTGTAAATAAAAATTGTAATTTGTATATAAAAAAGTATATCTACTATTAATAAAGACAAGTCAATATTATTTTAAACTACAAGAATGAAGCTCTCTCGATCCAAAGTAACAGCTCCCTCTGATGAGCTGTAATAAATTGTCACAAAATTAATCGCTCAAGGAATCGCAACAAGGAGAAGAAACATATTCTAAAACTAAAAATTTCAGAGAACTGCCAATGACGAAACCTTAATCTCAAGAACATAACATAAAAAATTTCTTTAGGTATAAGATATAGATAACCTAAATGGTAGTACTATAACATTATTTCACTATCTTTATTCTTGAGGGCAGAAAAACATTATCTTCCTTTGGTTGAAAAATTCTCATGAGGTTTGACTGTATTGGGTATATAAAGTCTCAAATACAAGTCATCACTGCCAATCATTCGTCCCGAAGTCAAATTCTGATAGATACAAAATTAAAGGTGAATACAGAGACAGTTTATTTCCCTTATAAGTTGATTAATTGACAGAAGATTGCAATCCAAATTTGGAACTAATAGAACTAGTTGGGGTTCAGGTTTTCTAAGAGAGCTACAGATCCTTTATTGGTCACTTTTGAAGCCGATTATCAACTATCTTGACATTATAGTTTTCATGATAAATAGTAAGATTTTGGATAAGAGATACATCGTCAGTCATATAATTAGAGGCTCTAGAATTGATTATCTATGAATTTTTCTTGTCCATCCTATAAGTTTTGAGGATTGTTGAAAAAATATCTTCATGTGCCACGTTTGTTATTGTCAAGAGATTGGAATTTGGAGTAAAAGAAATTGGTTGCGCATTAATAATTAACTTTTGAAAGATTTCCAATTGCTCCTTGTTGAATTGATTCAGTTGTTCCATGGTTGTAGTATGATTTGCACGTCCATGCCTTTTGCTTTTTGGCTTCTAATAATGGAATTTTCTATGAATGTCACAGCAGGTGTCATAAGAGTATTCGAACTTCTTGCAATGCTTGCACCATGGTCTTTTTTTTTTAGTCTCTTTATCCTCAGTTCTTTGTGATGCAAGGAAAAAAATATCGTCGTTATTGATGGACTGATTCTTAGGACACATCATTACCTTTTTCAACTTTTTTTTTGGACTCTAACTCCTACCTCTTGAAGATTAGATAGAGATTTGATTGTTAGGATTCGACCATGAATTTTATCAAAGTTTTTATTGAGTCTCAACAAAACTTATAGATCTATTTCTTCTCAATGATCTTCTTCTACTTAGCTGCATTAGGCAATCCTATTGAGTAATTTCCTACGCATCTAATTGCCATAAATACTTGCACAGACGACTTAAATATTGGGTGACTAAGAGGTTCTTCTAATAGAGGGTATGGAGGGACTTCAATTTCAAACACCTTCACTCTATCTTCCTTATTTGAGTAGGTCTCACGTGCAACATGCAAAAGTTCTTGTGTTATTTTATAGAGAATAAAATTCTCTCTGACGTCATGTGTCATGAAATTTATGAATTATAACATAAAAAAATGTTAAGTAGTATATTTTATTATTTTTATTTATTATTTAATTAGTTAAAATAACTTAATTAAAATTATATTAAAATATTAATTTTATATAATTAAAATTTTATTAGAATAATAATTTTTTTATTTATAATTAAAAGTTTTATAAATATTTTAAATATAATAATATAAAAATAAAAAATAAAATTATTTTTTATCTAAAATATTAAGATGATAATAGAGTTGAATAAAATTATTTTAGAATTTGAAAGAAACCATAAAATTATAATCTTAAAATAAAAAATAGGCTAAGTTGATATTTACTTAATTCAAATCTGCTATCATGATCGTCCCGGACAGTGCCGTAGACCAACCGGAGGCCTTTTTTCCGACTCCGTCGACCACCAGCAGCAGAGGCGCGTGATCACGCGCCGCCGGCTGCCGCAGCAGCCATTGACCACCACTTGCCACCGCGAGACTCATCGGGAATCACCACAGAACCGTGCGCACGCTCAGATCTGGTACGGATCTGGTGAGAACGAGTTAAAAGCACGCCCGGAATTGCAAAATTCCGCGACCAGCCGCTGCGCTCCGGTCGTCTTCTCTGGCCAAATCCGGTCAGATCCGGCCTTCTTCCACTCGTAGAACCGTTCACGCTCCCCACCGGAGTACCGCGCACTACAGATCTGGTCGCGTTGAACAGATCTTCTTCTCTCGCCACGACCTGCTCTATCCCCCATTGAGCCGCGCTGTATTTGCTGGTCAGGGCTCTCCGCCGCGTCATTCTAGCCTTCTACGCACGGGGACGTCCAGCTCTCGCCATTCTGCGCGCGGGACCACTCGGATCTAGTCCGTCCTTGCTTGAGCACCGAGCATGAGCCGATCCGATTTGAGCTGCTGCGTGAGTCGAGCCAAGCCATCTATGCTTGAGCCGAGTCGAACCGAGTCGAGCCGCTGCCTTGCTAGATAGATCTGTTTACTTCGTACACGAGCCACTCCGACTAGTCTTTTCTAGTTATTTTTTTGGGTCCTTTGTGCACGGCGGCCTCTGATTTTGCGACCAGGCCTTCTTCGAGCGTGAGATGCTTTGACTAGTCTTTTCTGGTCCTTTTTATGGTTTGTCTGTGCGCGCCTATCTCTAATTTTGCGATCTGTCGCAAATTTGCTTTTTTTTAGCACGAGCCGCTCTGACCAACATTTTCTAATCCTTTTTCAGCTCTTCCTTGCTCACACACCTCTTATTTGTAACTCGATTTATAAATTAGGTATGTATAATATTCTTGTACTAATTTAAAAAAAATATTGAATAGTATATTTTATTATTTTAAATTATTATTTAATTAGTTAAAATAATATAATTAAAATTTTATTAAAATAATAATATTATGTAATTAAAATTTTAATAAATATCTTAAAAGAAAAAATATAAAAAATAAAAAATAAAATTATTTTTTTTTAAAAAAAATCAACAGTAAGTTATTTCAGTTTTTCAAGTAGAGTGGATCATCATATTTTTAGTGATTGCACATGTAGTGTTGTCATCTTCTTTTCTGATTATAAACAGACATCATAACTGAATGCGACCATTGAAGATAGTTATGGCCATTCAAATGAAAAAGGCACTGTACTTGGATCCTCCATTGGAGTTGGTAATAGATTTCAACTAGAGATGACTGAGGCCATTGAAGAAGAAGGAAACGTTTCTGGCTTTTAAAATTACCACGAAGAATGAAAATTCTGTATTTTCATTGTCTTTGATAATAAAAAAGGGATGCATTGATAACACAAAAGTTACCATATTTATAAACACAAAAAAAATCTTTCTAACAAATGAGAGAATTTTTCAGAACAAATAGCATCAAAGAGATTTGATCAATCTTTGTGCTATATCTTCTAAATTAGGGAGTAATGTTTTTGATATAGCAGCTTAATTACTCAATTTTTGATAAATATCATTTCAAAACACTCAGTTCCCAGGCTAACGGGTTATCCCATTAGCATAATAGTGTTATTCGCATAATTCAAGGTAATTAGAAAGGGGTGGATCAATTATACCTGAAAATCTGCTTGTAAATATACATCAATTTACAATTTTTGATATATATATATATATAGAGAGAGAGAGAGAGAAGCTTAACCAAATTATTCTAATATGGGATATGCTAAAGAATTTCAAAGGATGCAAGAATGATTAAATTACTGCTCATTCCTCAGGTTAGAGGTTGAACTTGTAAAGGGGCTGGAAAATTATGTCCAAATTCTTGATGTTGTGTCTGGAAGTAAGGGTGAAGAGATCGAACTCCCTCGAGGTAGAAAGGTGTTTGCATTTCAATCAAGCGTGAGACCTGCAGATAAAAGTTATCCATGTAAGTAATCTGGTGAATTGACTGATCACATTGATTCACCAATCAAATATTGTCTGGTTATGCAAAAAAAGATAGTTTAGATTTAACTTCCATGCTGCATGCATATCAGTTCTTGTCACTGTAGTAAAGGTGCTATGATCATGTTCAAGGACGATGAAGTACTTGCATAAATTGAACTAAGATTGTTAACCAAAATTGAAGATGCTTGAACTATAAATTTCAACCTTATATATACTTTTTATTTAAGGTTCGACTCATTGCTCAACTCTGGAAAGTAGGTAATCAATCCAGCAAAGTTGCCTGGTGTTTAGAATAACCAATTATGTTGTCATTGTCTAATCCACTCATGCAGCAGGCGAGTCTGTGAAAGGCTTAATAGGATTCTCCATTCTCAATTTTGTTTAATATTTTCTAAAACTATGCCAGAGGTGCCCTTTATTCAGGCACAACCATACAACCAAACTAGGAAATAAAATGGCAGCCAAACTAGGATGTCTGAAGACCTTCAGCAGCTCTTGGCCACGGTCCGCCTCAATAACAACAAAGCAAATGGAACTTGGAGAAAAATGCAAAAGTTTGCTGTTAACTCTTTTAATAGGCACTTGGTTGGCTACAGAGACAGGCACAACTGTTTTCCCAACTAAAATGGTTTAGAAGGTGAAAGCCCCACCACGTATTTCTTTCTTTGCACAGGAAGCAGTTAAAGAGGGAAGATTATGGCCAATCGATAACTTAATAAAAAGAGGGAAGGTTATGGCCAACAGATGTTTCTTGTGCAAGAGTGAAGCCGAGTCTTGTAATCACATTCTGCTATGGTGCCCATTTTCTTATGGCCTATGGTCTTCTATTTACGGTCTCCTTGGCATCAACTGGGTTATGGCGGGGATGGTGAAAAGTGAATTAATAGCTTGTGAGGGGCTTTGGAAAAAGAATACTCTTTCGCCTTATACCTTCATCTATTTTGTGGATCATTTGGAAAGAGAAAAATAATAGGTTTTTCAAGGGAAAGGAAAAACAGTTAATACCTTAGTACCTTTGTGAATAATACTTTTCTTACATACTATTCAAAAGAAGGGAGAGAACAGTTTAATAACATTAGAGACAGGTGATTCATCATTTGTTTCCAGTATTTGGGTCATGATCTTTACAGGCTGGATGATGTTCTGGTCATTGTAGATATGCTTTACAGCTGTGTAAATTTTCTGCCACCCTTGGTGCTGTTTTACTTAATATACTTCATACACTTTTTATTTTTAAAAAAAAAGAATTAAACTAGGATTGGGAACAAAATGTATTTAATCTTTCAGAAAAAGTGCCATTTACCGCTCTGCGGAAGGCAAACATCTCTTCTTGACCAGAAATCATGGAAATTATGCCAACTGAAGAACCTCCTGAGCCCACATTGCCTTCTGCTAGAACATCACGACGAAGTTTCCCACCTTCTATCTCTGTTTCAAACTGGAAACTGGAAACATAGGATAAACATGCTTATATCTTGCATGCATAAAACAAGCACAGGAATTTTGACAGGGCTGTCAAATAAATAGTTGTGAATATATTCAAGGCATTCAAATCTTAAACAAGTAAAAACAAAGTAATTTAGGCATGCTATTTCTCCATGGTACCTTTCCAAATCGAAGAGTGTACCCTCTTCAGTTCCTTGAAACAAATCATCTATTGAGGCAGCAGCAGAGGAAAATAGGCAGCAGTGATGATTATAAAGTTCATCAATGAGCGTGATAAACCTACGTGCCTGAAAAGAAGTAACAGAGATCTGTTATCTTAACAGATGGTTTGTAGGTCTACAGAAACCAAAGAGACCCTTACCACCATTCTAACAAAAAAAAAAACAAAAAAACAAAAGAAAACAAATACTGTTCCCAGAAGAAAATAGAAATTTGGTATCCATTCTCTTCATCGATGGTTCCAAAGTCTGATTTAGACTAAATCTCTATTTTCTCCCTGTCATGCATAAAGAATCTTATCTATTTGTTCATCTTATTAATATCCACATTGTCCCTAATTACAACGTACCAAAAAGAAGCAAGGATTACCTTGTCCCGGATTCGCATACTCATTACTGGAATTTCAGAGATGAAGACAGTATGATAATTCTTTGCTATTGCAATATAATCTGCCGCACCTACCTGGTGAGTGTTAACAAAGAATGTACATTCAGCACCAAAAGAATTTTTTTAAAGGCAAAGTGAACCACTTATAAATAGTGCAAGGCACAAATAAATAACCATTAAACAGTACGAATGGTTGGCATTTTATGCAGTTGATAAGGCAAGACAAACCACAAGCTCAAACAGAGGTACTGGTTTTTGAGGATTAGATATAATTTGCATAAACCTGAAGGAAAGAACCATCAACTACCATCAATTTAGGCAAGTAAACAAGCTCTATGGAAATGAGGTCCCTCTTGTTGCACCGAATTTTGGTTTTGGAGGAAATTTTACTATTGAAGCTCCTTCATTAACTTCTATTTGCACATATAATATATCTACATATATATATATATTTGCCTATGTACCTCAGGTTGGATTTAAGAGATGGGTGGTCTAGGGAAGTCCCAAGTTAATGAGAACATGCCAAAAAGAGAGACCTTGGGGATAAAGACCAATTATTAGTATTTTTAATGGGTTCTTATGGCTAACAAGGATATCATATATTACTAGTTAAACAAAAAAACAAAAAAAGAACAAAGTCATGTGCAATACCGGCCGACCGCATAGATAATCAAATGTGAAACGTGCCACTCCGTTACAGCTTTCAGGCACCTCCAATGTTCTGATTAAACAAAACATGTCTTAACGAATATAATCTGAACTTATTGCATCAATTTTATTTTTTCAACATACCTCCCAAACATCACTGGAATAATATTAGACGTGATTTCTCCCTCAAACTGACTCGTAACGTGACACCACATTTTCTCGAACTCCCTTAGAGCAATGCGATCTAAAGGCCAGAAATAGTGAACCTACAAGCATATAAGAATAATTTCAATAGAATATAGCATACATGCCTAAATAGCTTCACATAAGTTGCATTTAACACACCAAAATAAGATTTTGGCCAGCATCTCAACCTGGTCGATAGATTTTTGGGCTATCAGACGACGATAATCAACCTCGCTTCCAACCAGAAGTATATCACAATGATCCTCTAATTTGGCGACAAACTTTAGAAAGATCTCCTTCTGCATGCCATCCTGTACACACAGGATTTGTGAAAAAATTTCAATGAAGTGTTTTCACCATGAAATTACTCTCAAAAACCATATATGTTTTTGACATGTAACAGATTTTAAAAGATCTTAAAGAGGTAAATGTATAATAATAGTCGAGCTTGTTTAGCAGAAACTTTTCGAGAATGCTTCCATCAGGTGTTACCTTGGATGACAAACTCAAGGAAATGACTGACAGACCTGATTTAAGTCCCTTGGTGCTCGATTACTTGTAGCCACAAGGACAGTTCCAGTGGTCAATAATCTGCTTACAATTCCAGATAAGGCCACAATAGCAAATACGTCAACAGTCTGTAATAAAAAGGCAAGAAATTTTAAGTTACAAAACAAGTGGAAATTAAACAAGTTGGTTCTCTAAGAGGCAATTTCTAGTATTTTCACACTTTTTCCATAGGAAAAGGTAACCTAAAATGAAGTATTCACAGGATCATTCTCCCATATATAGTTTAGAGCATGAATTTACTATTTCTGCTTCAAAGGGTTGTAAAGAATCAAATCATTACTTCATGCACTGCAGAGTAAACACACAGTGTTTATGTATGCACTAATTGATTCATGCATTTGTACATGCGCATTTCATGTAGTCTTATTGGCTGTTTGAATTCCTAACACTAAACATTTAATACAAAGTTGATGGAAATTTACAAATAGCTAATGAACATTTTCAATAAGTAAAAAAGCAAGATATCATTGTGTTTTCTTATTGTCATTTCATATTATAGTTTGTCTTACCTGAATCTCATCAAAGCAGAGAATGCTGGCGCCTCTTTGACATGCTTGCTGGTCAACAAGAAACTGATCTGCAACAGTAGGAAGAATGTTTTTCATTTGAACATCTCGCTTATATTTTTCTTCTGCAGCCAACCATTCCTTGACTTTCATATCAAATGGAAGATTCGTGATCCAACTAGATATGCTTGATTGCAAAGATTTTTCCTCAACTTGGTTCTTCCACAACTTATGCATTCCTTCATTTATCTTCAGCATGGCCTGCAAAAAGTAGTAAACATAACCTCATTTCAGATTAGGGACAACCCAGCACCAATAAATGCAAATAAACATATTCTCCCTTGTCAAAAAATATTTTCCAAATATTAAAGTGGATTTTTTTTTGCATTTTTAATCGTTCACACTCATCCACCAACTGACGTATAAAATATATTATCTTTTACATAAACAAACAGACCTAGAGAGTATAACTGCTACCAAAAAGCATCATCAGCACTTCATCAAACCACAATCAGAAACTCACCTCATGAAAGTGAAACCTCTGTCGATGTTTAACAATTCCTTCAGTTGCAGCATAAAACATGTCCATAAGCATCGTCTTCCCTACATGGAATAATTTCTTCAGTTTATTTTCTTCATATGAGTAATATCCTTAAAAATAGTATAATAAATGCTGTATCCAGAAACAGAAGTCATTTTCAGTGCAATTAACAATCCACTCTCCTTTTCGGAATAAAAAAAGAACGTAACCAGATGGATACTGTTTCAATCAAACCTTAAATAATTCCTTCATAAGCAATAGGAGAATCAGAAAATTACCACTCCCAACATTTCCATAGATATATAGTCCTTTTGGGGCAGGAGGAGCAGTTGGACGGCGACCAACTAGTGAATCCAATTTCTTCTCCCGGTTAAGGTATGAAACCCACTTTCCCACCCCCGGTTCAACATTCTCAGGTTTCTTCCTGAGCCAGAATAAGCTAATTTAGTACTTGCAACAAACAAAATAGCCATATTTATATGCATCTAACAGATTCCAAAATGTGCATAGGGATTCAGAGAAAAGTTGAAGTACTCAATGCCATCATAATGCTGAACACTTAAGCTCTTTATACACCAATATTTGATCACTGAAACATTCATAGGTTATTGAATATACTTCATTTACTCTGGACCTTTTATATGTAATACTTTTTTGAGAAAAATTATTTGAAACGAACTAAAGAGTAGTACGTGATATTGGTTGCATCCTGCAAATAAAAATAACCTCAGTGCTGAAGCATGAAAAATTATTGTATTCTCTTCATGACAATATTTATGATGGGACAAGGAGTGAAAGTATAGATGGTAATAATCTTTATGGTCACGCCAAAATAAAAGAAAAAAATAAAAAGCAAAATCATGTACAGCATGCCTCACCGGAGCATCCATCTTTCCAAAAGTCGTTTCCGATATTTGTTTACTGATGTCCAGACATCATCCTGCTGCTTCAGCTTAGCTTCCTCCATCAAAAGTCTGCGCCGCTCATTCTCCCTGTTCTTTTCCCAGATGGCTAGCTTCACCTGCAAAACACAGGAAGGAGATGCCCCATTAAATAACAAAATATGGGAATTCAAAAGGTTATATCAACATTGTACAGATAACGAATGAATTGTTGGCCATAAATTCCAAATTCCCAAATTCATGGTCATACATGATATTCCTCCATATCCTTTTCATACTGTTCTAGCCTCCCACGCAAATTTTCTAATGCCAAAGCAATCTTTTCTTGGTAAGGGTCATGCTGCAGCCTCCCTTGCTCAACTAACTTCCTGTAGTGTGTCAGTAGGCCTGACACAGAAATTTCATGTCATAAACTAAAATGGAAGCAAATCATGAAGGAAAGTAGTAGAAAACCTTCAAGATTGAAAGCCTGATTATTGTCCTAAAATTTTGATTGGAGAGTCTCAGATGGCAGGATGTAAAGCCCCTGAGACTCACATGGTCAACCTTATTATCACTACAGATGTGGAGCCATAGTCAAACGACCGTACCATGTCAAGAGCTTCACTCCACCAATATGATCCTAATCTCTATTATCTTCATTTACCATGGGAAGAACACCCTATGATAGTAAGGGTAAACACTAGACTGATCTTGCAATAAATCTTCGCATGACTCATTGTCTAAGCAATTAATGCACATAATCATTAGCAGAAGGAAGACGAGAATACTTATAGGCAACTTGTCTCACAAGCATCTAAATGTGCTAAAAATAAAAAAGAAAATTACTCACGCCATACTTGCTCACCAAATTTCTGATGATGCTTGAAATTCAATAACCAAAAAAAAAAAAAAAAAACCACCAACGCAAAACGGATTTTACCAATTGCAGAAATAAATTAAACTAAATTCACTTAATAAGCCTTTCCTACACCTATCTCTATCAAAGATCACCGACAGATGAGCTTAAGATGTGTAGTAATAAGGATCAGTCTATGAGAATCTCCACTCATTTTCAGCAAAAATGGTTATGTTCGATTTCATCGGAAGCAAACAGAGGATTCCTGTCACTTTCCCATCCCAGTGTCCCAAGACCACAATCAGTTTTGCAAAGCATTCATGGTTGATGACGAAGATTTTTGATATAACAATGAGAATATACTTGCCAGTCCAATTCAAGTTTTATCGGACAATATAAACGCCAGAGGCACACAAAATTCTCACGCTAACTGAAGATAGTCGTCAATAATTGTTGGAGAAACAACGTAATAACAATTCAACAATGAGAAAACCTATATACATATGCATCACATGCATAGTGAGAGAACCTGTGGTCTCTGAGGGAAAATCGCAATAATGGCGAACCGCATTCCCGAATTTATTGGACATTCTTCTTCGTAGAGCAAACCCTAGACGAAGAAATGAAGACATAGACGATGATGTTCTCATTTTTTTTCCTTCAATTCCGATTCTTCTTTATTTTGACAGTTCTTGAACTCTCTCCCTCATGATCGTAGATTCACAGTACTAAGGAAGGAGAAGAGAGTAGGTTAACGGCTGGCGGGGCAGCTGAACACGGAACAGAATGAACGTGAAGTCTACTAAGATGACATGGCAATTGAGAAAGCTAGCCACGTTGAAAAAAATGGTTGGTTGGACGCAGAGATGACGTGCACAAGTTTTAACCGTTGGATTGCACTTGGAGGTAAAAACGCAGTTTTCTCTCATTAGGCCTAAGGCCCGAACTCTAGTGTGATGGAATCACGCGAGAAAGTTACATGACTTAAATCTGAGCCGTTAACTAAAGTTAGATCCTAAAAGCAATGGTGGGCCCCCATGGGCCCTGCTGGTCAATAAGCCCATAGTGAGCACGCCCGCAGGCAGAGACTCCCATCCCCTTTTCTTCTTCACTCTATTCCTCTCTCTGCAACTCCCACATGCAAGCAAATCCCAAAACCCGGCTGCTCCGTACGATCTCTGTCGCGAAAATAGCAAGGAAAACAATAAGTACGACAACTGACAGCGCGAGAGTGGTCGAGCAGGATTGTTTAGCTCTCCTGCAATCCTGTGGCGGTCTTTCAGAGCTGACCCGACTCCATGCCCATATCCTCAAATCGGGTCTACATAACAACCGACTTGTCCTCACCAAATTCGCATCGACATCGTCTCTCCTGAACGCCATTGACTACGCTTACTGCTATCTTTTCTCACCAGAGGCTGATTCTAGCCACTATGATACTTTCCTTTTCAATACAATCATCCGAGCTTATGCGCAAAGCTCGGAAGCGAAGTTCAAAGCAATTTTTCTGTATAATTTTATGCTTGGTTGTGGACTTTTGCCCAATAAATACACGTACCCTTTTGTACTCAAGGCTTGTGCTGGCATTGGGAAGCTGAATTTGGGGAAATCGGTTCATGGGTCAGTGTTGAAATTCGGGTTTGATGACGATGTCCATGTATTGAACACTATGGTGCATATGTATTGTTGCTGCGATAGTGGGATTGGATTTGCTCGGAATGTGTTCGATGAAATGCCGAAGTTGGATTCTGTTTCGTGGAGTGTGATGATTGGTGGTTATGTTCGACTGAGACAGTCCATAGAAGCAGTTGAGTTGTTTAGAAGAATGCAAATGGAGAGTGTTTGTCCGGATGAAATCACCGTGGTTCTGGTCGTCTCTGCGTCCACTGATTTAGGTGCACTTGAGCTGGGGAAGTGGGTTGAATCGTTTATTGAGAAACAGAGGGTTAGAAAATCTGTTGAGCTGCGCAATGCACTTATCGACATGTATGCGAAATGTGGTGATGTTGATAGAGCTTTGAAATTGTTCAGAGCCATGAACGAGAGAACTATTGTTTCATGGACTTCTGTGATTGTGGGTCTGGCAATGCATGGTCGTGGGTTGGAGGCTGTTTTCTCTGTTTGAGGAGATGATAGGAGAAGGGGTGGAACCAGATGATGTTGCTTTTTATTGGTTTGCT